CCATCTCACGTGAAGCGTTATATAAAAACCTGCGTTACCTGTCAAAAACATAACTTGCACCGTACCCGCGCTCCATTCCAAGAAACGGAAACCGCTGACTTTCCGTTTCAGAAGATCGCTATGGATATCATTGGTCCCCTTAACATCACTCCGAGGGGAAATAGGTATCTTCTTTCGATCATCGATATATATACTAGGTACGCTGAGGTCTGCCCCATGAGTAATCAATCCGCAACAACCGTTGCCGAAGCATTATTCGAACGTGTCGTTTGCCGTTATGGCTGCCCTGAGGTGGTCGTGTCTGATCGTGGTGGAAATTTTACCTCGCGGGTATTCCAGGAAGCTTGTGAAACTTTAAAAATCAAACATAATCTCACCACCGCTTATCGTCCCTGTGCCAACTCCGTATGCGAGAGGTTCAATAAATCCATTTGTGGTGTGATATCTCGTATTTCTGGAGGGAACAATAGAGATTGGGATATATTTGTCCCCCCAGCCCTCTTTTCTTACAATAATGCGTCTCACGCCTCCACAGGTGAATCGCCTGCTTTTCTTTTATATGGTTTCGACCCACGTTTCCCATGGGCTTTTCCGAGCGATATGGAGACTAACGTAACGAGTGACGGATCTCATAACGAGTGGAGAGAGAAGTTAAAGTGCATCCGTGAGGTATCTTATGAGTTAGGGAGACATAAAAATAGGTGTAATCGTAACCGCATTAATAATAACCGTAAGATCAGTGAATGGGAGAGCGGACAGCGCGTATGGCTACTCCGTAAGGGGAACGGAAGGAGGTTTGGGAAGTTTTCCGCCAAGTATCTTGGCCCCTTCCGCATTGTCCGGATGCTTGGACCCGTCACAGCCGAGATCGAAGGTAATTCCCCTAATAGCCGTATGGTCGTTCATACCGACCGCTTAAAACCCTGTTACACCCCGTTGCATTTTACTAAGCAGCCGAGGACATGGAGAAGAAAGGCTCTGTCGGGTTGATCCCAACTTACCGATTAAAGTAAATCGATCGACATAACGTAAAAACATGACACTTTTATTAACTAGCAGGTTAAATTCTAACTCCATCTTACAATGTTTTTTTAACGAGCGGTATCACAGTTCGTGGAACGTAGCGCAAGGTCGACTGGTCGTCTCGGCAGCTAGTCCAGAAGTAGTTCATCGGCTAACGCTCCGGGCAAATTACCGCTCTACAGAAAATGTTGACTATTTAGTTCGCGATAGAAAGTAGTTCGCGACCGCAACAGTAGTCCCCCGCCAGCGATAGCGAGATATTTACAAATACCTGGGGTTAAATTTTACACAACGACCTGCGCGTGTGACAGTTTTCTGTTGCTGTGGCGAAGCTTCTGCTGGGGGTACCGTTGTTGTTGCCCCTGTTGTTGCTGTTTCTGCTGAAGCTGTTGTTGATGTAGATGGGGAGAACGTTGAGTCATCCGCACATATGTATGCGGGTTTGAGTCTATCGATGTTGACAGTGATATGACGCTTTTTTACTTCCAGTTTGAAGTTTTTGGGTCCACGCTTTAACACACGGTATGG